ACACTAACTTTGAAAGTGCCAAGTACACTAGAAAGTACAGAGATGTACCTAGGGCTCTGAGGTGCAGAAAAGAAAGATCATCTGGGTGATCCAAGGGGCTTTGGTCTGTATTTCTCAAGACACCTTACTGGATGGTCATTGTCTTCTCATTGCTGCTACAAACACATTTTGTTCCAAATAAGTGTATTTCGGAATCTCTCCTCAATTTTGATGTTGCCATTGACAGCAAGAGTGAAATGTCTGTAAGACTTGGGGAGGTCAGGTATAGAAAGAGGAGAAAGGCTCTGTCTTCCCAGGTATTTTATTAGTGGTCTTCAAACATCAGGTGCTTAGGAATACCCTGGGGTTAGGGAGATAGAAAAACATTTTTCTGCACACAGAGCAGTTGGATGGACAGCAGAGAAAAGGAATATGTCCCATTCCAAGCCAGGGGTGAGTGCACAGGCCATCTACGATTTGACTATGAGGTCGTCCTAACATGTCTTTCCTCAAAATAAAATTCACTGCAAATTTTAAAAATTCCAGGCCTCAGCCTCACAGAGGCCTCCTAGAGCCTTCCAAGGATCACTTCAGGTTACCTCTGGGACCAGCTGGGCAGCTCTTGACTGGATCCGTGCCTCAGTTCCCCCTCACTTTACAGAATCCCCTTGTGGTTTGCATCTTAAACGTCTGGCAAAAGCCCGTGTGCTAAAGGCCAGGTCCCCAGCTTGGGGTGCCACTAAGTGCTTTAGGAGGTGGCCTGGTGGGAGAAAGTTCATGGGGCGTGCTCTTGAAGGGGTCATGGGGACCCGTGGTGCCCCCTTCTTCCCAGTTTTCATAAGGTGACCAGTTAGCCCACCACACATTCACTTCAGGTGCTTTAATTTTTTTGAGTTCTTTGTAAATGCTAGGTATTAATGCTCAGCCTAAGGAGTAGCTGGCAAAAATTTATTCCCATTCGGTAGGTTTGTGTTTGGGGTGCTGGTACGTGAGATGTTGTTTTCTATTCTTTAATTTTTAGTCAATGAATCTCTTTTTGTATTAGATGAGTTTCTTGAAGGCAACAGATTGTTGGATTCTGTTTTGATCCAGTCTGCCAGTCTGTGTCTTTTGATTGGAGAATGAAGCCGTTAATACTGAGAGATATTACTGAGATGTCTTGGTTACTTAGCATCATTGCCTTCTTTGTCTGTTGGTGTACCATTTGGTTTTCTTTTTCTGATGTTATTTGATACTGTTTATCAAGGACCTCACTAGTTTCCTCTGTGTTTTTATCTGTGTCCAATTCATTGTTTCTATGGAGAATATTCTTGAGTATTTTCTCTAGAGCTAGTTTAGCACTCATATTTCTTCTGAGCTGGTCTTTTTCATGGAAATACTTTATTTCTCCATCTGTTTTGAAGGATAGCTTTGCTGGTAAGTTAATCTGGGTTGGAAGTTATTTGCTCTTAGGGCTTGAAATACTTCACTCTAAACTTTTCTGGCCTTAAGGACTTGTGTTGAGAAGTCTGCCATGATTCTAATTGGTTTACCTTTATATGTGAATTATTTTGTTTAACCCTGGCTGCTTTTAGAATTCAGTTTTGTTTGTTTGCGGGATATCTGGTCATTTAATAAGTATATGCATTGGTGGGCTTCTTTTTTCATCATATTTGTTTGGTGTTCTATAAGTGTCACTTACTTGTGTTTTAAATAATTTTCTTACATTTGGAAATTTTTCTTCCATGATTTCTGTAAGCATGTCAGTGAATCCATCTGTGCTATCTTCTAGTTTTCCTCTAACTCTGATTAGCCTTAGATTGGTCTTCTTGTTGTCATCTAGTAGCTGCTGGATAGTCTTCTCTTGTCCTCTGATTTTATTTTTGTCTTCTTTGAGCTCTTTATCGTAATTCACTATTTTGTCCTCAATATCAGACATTGTCTCCACATTGGTCATTTCTGCATTGTAGGTATTCTATAAAGTTTTGTACTTCAGCTATTTCTGTCTGACATCTTCTCAAGGATTCCATATCCTTGTTGAAACTGTCATTCAAACTATGAACTGTTTTGATTAGCTCATTCAGTTTTTTACCTATTTCCCTGATATTCAGTATGGGCATATTGAGTGAAATTGCTGTGAACCTTTGGTTCGTTTCCTCTTTGAACTCATCTATTTTCTTCATCTCGTCTATGAACTTTTCATAAATTTCTGCTACCTGATGTTTGTTTTCTTCTCCCTTTGTGACCCTTTGCTCTGCCTTGGGAGAGTTGGGGGTGTTTGGAGTTTTTCTATTTCTTTGATTTCTCGTTCTCACATACATATGTATATCTATATCTAGATCTAGATATCTGTATCCATAGAGAGAGAGCACCAAAACTGTATATATATTTCAGCAGGTTGCAATTTGCTGTACTAATAACTGTCTGGAAGCCCATGGCCACCACTGTGAGCACCTCTTGTCATTGTAGAGGACAAAGGTAACGCATTAATCTCACGATGTCTCAATAAATTCAGTATTAAAATATTTATACAAATTTTTCTTTTCCTGATGTATACATTTCTTTTTGGCAGACTATGTGTATATACCTTTTTAAAAATTATATATGGCCCCTCTTTTTCCCCTCCTTTGGGGTGTCACTGCACATGGGGGACTAGAGAAGTGAGCGAGTTGTGGCTTACATGGAGATTTTTCGTAGGATGCTGCCTCCCCGTGAATAATTTTCAGCTTTGTATGTCCAGTATTTGCTCCTTCTGTTATTTACTTTAACTGATTTTGACTCTGTCCCTATGGTTTGCCAAAAGAGTTACTTCTGGTTATAACAGCACCCACAGCTTCAGTCTTCAGCACTTCTACATGATAGTCCTTGCAGTTACATTCCCTCCCCTCAGTCTGTTCTCTGTGCACACGATGTCAGTTTATTGTCTGTGGTTGCTCTGCAGTGAGGTGGGGAGAATGGGAGGTGGCTGGATGAGAGTGTTAGGCACTGAGGGGAGCTCTGAAGTGGGGAATAGTGGTGGATGAGAAGGAAAGGTTTGTGTGGGGTCTGATTCATGGGCATAGGTTTAGTTGAGCTGAAAGGTCAGCACTGAGTTTTCAGAAGATATTTTGTGAGGACAAGGACAAGATGTGGGAGAAAGGGGGTTTGCTTAATGACTGAGGGAGGCTGTGTGGCTGCCAGAGCTGCTAGGGAGGACAGTGAGCGAGGTGAGGCGCGGCAGAGCCAAAGGCTGAGGATGGGGAGGATCGAGGAGTAATACAGGAGAAGACAGGAGTGCCTGTGAGGGGCGAAGTATGGGGAATTCAGAAGTCGGGAGGAGGAGTGCACCTGTTTGGAAAAAGAATAAAGGAGTATGACAATAAGATTGTCTTGGGGTTTGAGGTGAGGAAACGAGACAGGGAGCTGAGACGAGAGACAGAACCTAGACACCTATTAAACCAGAGCCAATGGAAGAACAAATACAGAAAGTAACACCCTAATAAACACAGGAAACCCTAAAGAACCTAACATAACATAACCCCACATTACTAAATAAATCAAGAAACATACAAAGACTTAGACCCAGAACGTGTCTGATGGGAGCACAGCTTCAACTCTCTAATGAGACGCTGCACACATGATTCTCAATAGGGTCTCTGCCGGAGCCTGAGTGCTCGCCCCGTAACTCCCCTGACCCCTCCACCGCAGTCCCGAGGCCACCTCCCACACGGGACCTCCTTCTGCCAGGCTGCGGGCATCCGTAGAGTCTGATGCAGTCCGAGCGAGCTCGGGGGTTAGGAGCTCTTGCTGCCCCTCTCCCTGGGTGTGATGTGGATTCGGCAGACAGGTTCACTGGCATGAAATTGTCCAATAAGTCGCGATTATTCCTGAGCAATGGAATCAGCTACAGTAGTAACAGGCTGATCCATTTCGGTGAGGTCTAACAGGTCTAGCGGAGCAATAACTTATCATGAGTCCCTACTGGGGTCTCCTTTTAGCCTGGAGAAGGAATCTACGGTTATTTGTGTATGCATCATAACCCAAGTCTTCAACCATGTTAGTGTGCACTGAATGCAACAGCTCTGTCTCTAATGGTGAAAAACAATTCAGCCGTACGTAATCTTACAGAATCATTATCTAAAGCCCAGGGGGTTGGGGACCAGGTAATCCCAGATGGGGGAAGAGAAGAGAAAAAAAAAAAAGTTTATTTTTCACCCTTAAAGAAATGTTTAAGTTCTCTGCTCTTTGGTATGGGAAGAAGGAACTAGGAGGAGCGCCTGCCACCGATGCCCATGATGGCGAGGGTGTGTTATTTACTTAGAGGGGGAACAGGGAACAGGGGAGACTGGGGACAAAACGGATACTGGGAAATGGGGATGGAAAAGATTCTATGACTGAAGTAAATATTAGAGAAAAAGGGGGGACAAATGAAAAAGGGGTCGGAAAAAAAATAAAACTTGAGAATGAATAAGACACAGGAAAGGGCCAGGGATTTAGCTCAGTGGTTCCGCTGCCTGCCGCGCAAGCGCAAGAACCCAAGTTTGATTCCCGGTACCAAAAAAAAAAAAAGACACCGGTAAAAGGAGTGAGGTGAAGAGGCGTGCGTAAAAGTAGGAAGGTTATGCAGAGACAAAGGAGAATTCCCTTGCCTCCATAACTATCCTGGAAGAAAAAGGCAAAGAGGAAGAGAAGACTCGCACCCAGGCATGCTCATAAAAGAAGAAAGGGCAAACTACTGCAGTAAACGTGGGGCGGGTACAGAAGGAGGAAAACAGCAAAGAGCAAACGAATTTAAAAAGTAAAGTAGGAAGAACACAGTCAAATAAAGAATGAAAACGTTTCCTAGTTGTGGACGTGCGGCCATTCGCTCGGCGCAGGGTAAGGCGCGGAGCTGGAGCCGGGACCCAGGGCGCCTCTGCCCACCCGAGGCCCCGTCTGCGGGCCCAGCCGAGTGGGCGCCCGTGGGAGCTGCCGGCCTGCGCCTGCCCCGCGGCCCCCAGAGGGCAGCAGCCGGGGCGCCCTGGGAGCCAGGCTCGGCCGCCTTCCCTGCAGCGCGTCCTGGCCGCTGGCTCCCGCCCGTGCTGGGGCCACGGGGGCTGCGGGCCCCGGACGCCGAGTCCCGCGCTCTCCTCGCAGGTCCGCCCGCTGAAGACCCTTGGCCCCGGTCAGCTCTCCAGCGGCCCCGAGGAAAACGCCGACCGGCTGGGGCTGGCCGGCCTCCGCTCCGCGGCCAAACTGCTTCCAGGTCTGGCCTCTTAAAGCCGGGCTCCCTCTTCCGCTCCGGAAGCCCCGCGCCCCGCGCCCCACGCCTCTCCGCGCTGCTCCTTCCGGACTCTGACCCTCCCGGGAAGCTGAGCCGCTGGCACTCGCTGCTGGCCACTTCGGGACCTGCCTCAGGCTTCCTCCGTGTAAGTTTAATTCCTCAAGTCTTCTGTCACAGAGACAAAACTCTGACTAACATCCCCCTTGCTGGTCCTTTTCTCTGAAGGTGCTGCTTGTGCTGCTCCCGAAGGAGCCTGAACTTAGGCCTAAACGCTCACCTCACCTAAGAACTTAAGGTGCAGAATCTGCTCGCATCGCGTCCTCAGCTTTGAATGAGTGTGTAGCCTCCGGAGGCCTAAAAATGTTGCCTAGCTTTAATGCTTAATATATATTTAGATCTATGTTTATTACATCTTGAATAGTGCTTAAATTTACTTCAGTAATTTAACTATTCATTGGACATATTTGTTTCAAACAAGATGATGAGTATCACATCTCTGTGATCCAATCACATCCCCAAAGCCCATGCATGCATGAGGCTTTGCGGGGGACATCCACATAGAAACACCGCAGCGTTCCACCCGGCCCCCAAAGACTCACGTGCTCTCCGTCCAAGATGTACATAGTCCGTCTCTAAGAGGTGTCAGAGCCCTAACGGTTTCAGCATCGCTGAGAAGTCCGAGTCCAAGTCTTCTCTGAGATTTAAAGCCATCGCTTACCTTGGCGCCCTTGTGAGAATGCAAAGTTAAACATCACCAGCATACAAAGGTACCAGGTAAACATTCCCTCTCCAAAAGGCAGTGATAGCGGAATAGAAAACAGTGGGACCAAAGCAAGTAAAAATATCCAGCAGGGCAAACATTAAATCTGTAGCTCCCTGTCCAGCGCCCAGTACAATCTGTGGAAGGTGTGAACCCAAAGGGCTTGGGTGACCACCCCATGGCACTGCTGGTGGTTGTGGCCCTCATGGCTTCTCTCTTGGGCCAGTTCTGCTCCATCCTTGCAGCTTTTTTCAAACGATCCACGTTCGTGGCTTCTTCCACCTGCTGAGGTCTCCATGCACCTTGGGCTTCACACTCACGCTTCACACACTGCCCTCCGGGGGGCACACTGCGGCCTCCCAGGTCTTCTTCTCAAATCTGGGTAGAGGCCTTCCTGACCCCGCCCCCGCTCTCATTCTGCATGCACCTAAAGCCAGCACCAGGTGGGTGATGCCAAGTCTGCCACCAGCTGGAGCCATAGCCAGGCTTTCTTCTCTCTGGGCTGTAGGGGTCCGGTACCCGGATGGCTGAGCACTCTGAACGTAATCCAGAGAAAAAACTCTCTAGGGTGCTGTGTTCTGGGACGTGGTTCCCTGGGGTTCTCTTCTCAAAGCAAATTGTGAGGCTGCAAATTAAGTCCTGCTGGTTCTTGTGATGCCCTCAGGCAACCTTTTCTATTGTTCTTTTTCAGCAACCAAGTTCTCCTCTGCTGTAGGTGGTTACTTTACCAGAACTTCCTTTCTGGTCAAACTCAAAACCTTTTAAATCATGCTGCTGGGCTGTTTGCTCTTGATTCTCAAGGTAAAGCTGGCTAAAAGCCCCCAACAGTACTCGAGCCAGGGCCTCAAGATTAGACTGCCTTGAACCTTCCTCAGCCAGGTTAATTAGTGCACTGCTCTTAATCTTAGGCTTCCTCAAAGTCTCAGGATATGAGCAAGATGTTATGCTCCACCTGGAGCCCAAGTGCCAATGGAGTCCTTGTTCCCAGCTGAAATCTCCTGAGCCTGATCTTCTTCCTTCCCTTTTTTTATCAGCATTCTAGTCTTCTGAGCTCTGACCAGAATCTCCTATCCAGCTCTGCCTACAGCATCCCTAGGCTGCTTCTCCATCTGGCATCTCCACACTTTTCTAAACTCTTCCCACAAACCAGTTCCAAAAGCTTCTGAACCGCATGACCAGGTAGCGTCACAGCAACGATCCCACTTTTCTGGTACCAAAATCTGTCTTATTTTCTCAGTGCTGGGATAGAATGTGTAATACTCACTGATGCTGGGAAGAAAGAAAGGTTTATTTTAGTTCACAGTTTGTAGAGGTTTCAGTCCATAGTCAATGATTCCAATGCAGGCAGCATGGCAAAGGGGCATGGTAGAAGAGAAAGAGTCCACGGCAAGGCAGGCAGGATGCAGCCAGCAGCAAGCCTCCCTTTCCCTTTTATTCCATTCAGGGTACAAGCCTATTAGTTGGTGCCACCCACACCTGGGGTGGACCAGTGTCGCTAGATCCAGCCACCTCCCAAAGCCTCACCTATGAGCACATGAGGCTTTGCGGGGGACATCTAGACACAAGCCAAAACAGGTTGCTGTAGCAAAATACTTCAGACTGAGTAACAGACTTATTTTTCACAGAAATCTATTTTTCACCATTCTGGAGACTGAGAAGTCCAAAATCAAGGGGCAGGAGACGCTGGTGAGGGCCACTTCCTTGGGACAGCACCTTCTTGCTGCAGCCTCACAGGCAGAGGACCAGCTAGCCTCTAGGTCACTTTCATAAGGGCATGAGGGCTCCACTGAATCACTTTCCAAAGGTCTTCTAGTACTATCACATTGCAAATTCAATTTCAACATATACATTTTGGGGAATACAAAATTCAGACCATAGCATATACCAGTACAGGCAGCATCGCCATTTGGCAGGTTCCTCCTTTTTTTCTAATTTTTTTATTACTACATATTTGCAGTACACAATGACTATATTCGTCGTGGGGAGTTGGCACGTGCACAGAACACATCTCAATTCTTTTTCGCCCCTCCCCCTCAAGCACAGTGATCCCAGAGTCTGCAGGTGTGGCTCGGAAGGTTCTTGCTCCTACGCCTCCTTGGCGGCCACGTGGGCTGGCTGTCGGCAGTCAGGTATAGTGGCTTTGAGAGTTGATCTGGAAGCCTGGCATAGTTTCTATCTTCAGTTCTTTTGAGAGTTCTACAACCAGGAGAGGGCCCTGTTCCCTGCACGTGACTAACAGAACGTTGTTTAACCCACAAGCCATGCTCCACACCATCAGCTGAGGTCTAGTGGAAGGGCCACTGGGAATTCACCCCGGCCCCATTGTCCTTGGAACTCGATCTCATGTTGGGGAAAGTATGCCTGTGTATTCATCACTAGAAACAGCTGTGCCATTAAAGATATAACCGTGAAAGTACAAGTGACTTTGTTACAGGAAACTGTCTCAGAATGACAAAACACAGAGCACTGTATGGCTCCTCTTGTGGACCATGGATGCTCAAGTGACTTGGAACCAACCTGTGCTGACACTTCGGTGACGGACAATGGACACTGATGGGCTGTGCAGAATTCTGCCAACAGCGGTGACCTTGGAGAGCATCAGGTGAGTTGGGTATAAAGCAGAGCTTCCAGAAAGACGCTAGGATTCTCCATCTGCACAGATAAGCAGAAGCCAAGACTGAGTTGCAGGTACACGTAGGCAATTACTCTTAAGGATCCTCCAGAATATTTAGAGAAAGGAATTCCTATCTTTTGGGTATGGCTGGAAGGCGTCCTCCAGAGGTCTATGTGTGTGTTGGAGACTTAGTTCTTAGTGAGGGAAAGTGAAGAGGTGGTGAGACTGACGTCCAGCTGGAGTCAACTGAGAGCGTCCCCAGGAGGAACTGAGGGACCCCAGGTTTGCTGTGGCTACCTAGCTGGGAAGACATCGGATCTCCTCCTCCTACATGCGCCCTTGCCACTGTGCCGTCATCTTCCTCGAGGCCTTTACCGGAGCTAGGCTGCTGTGCCTTTGAACACCCAGAACTGTGAGCTCAGTCAACTTCTTTCCTTACAGAGAAGGCTGTCCCACTGTCCGTTATACTAACCGAAATAGATCGGTACAGGAACTCCTAGCCAGAGCTTAGTAATATCACAGACTTCAGCAATCAGTTCGGAGTCTTTGTCCCTTCTAGACTAGCTCAAAATATGGCCAAAGGACAGGCAAGTTCTGGTGCCTGGTGAACTGGTGGCTCTGACCTACAGATGTCAGCTCCACATTCGTGAGTCTCATTTACACGGTGATAAAGTTTACAAAATGCACACTGAACAATGGCTGGCATATGGTAAGGGCTTAGTATACATCAGTTTTCTGAGTCATTTTAATGAAAGTAACTACCTACATGTGAAACTTTGCTAAATTTTGTGCAGAATTACAGCAAAGATGTGGTTCCTACTTTCAGTAAGCTTCTAACCAACAGGTAAACATTTGAAATAGTTAGTTCCTAAATAGTTAGAGTTAAGGAGAGAGGAAAAGTGACATATTTTAAAGAGATCTATGTCTGTAATGTGACCACATCACCTGGAAGATGAACATTCTTCGGTATTGCAAGACCAGACAGTAGCACAGAGTATGGAAGCAAATGGACAGTAAAATGGGAATTGAATATCATCCCCCACCCCGCAAAAAAATCAAAGCTGTAGAAGGGTAGGAGGGTATTAGGTCTCCTACTTGAATGCTTTTAACTCTGTAAAATTTCTCTCAAGTGCATTTAGACGCAAGGTGTCAGCACAACCTTGAGCTCCATTGATTCTCACCAGAACATCCAGAGACTTTGGTCTAAAGACAGCAGTGTACCTCAGTTTCTCTACTTGTGTTAGGCATTCTTCCTAGTTATACAGTACAGTAGAGATGATTTTTAAGTGCTATAGTATAAACTCAAAGGGGTGCTCAAAAATAATATTAAGACAAAGCACAAAACCATGGGAAAGGTATAATATTTATCCAATGGGATTGTATAACAAATCATATGGATTTCACAGAAATAATTTACATGTCAGTAAACCCTAATATGATTGTGAATAGTGTGTAAGGTTTATTCTTGTTTGTTTCAGACCTAATTAGAAGTCATATGTCTCAGGCCATTATAATAGAAGCCATTTATACAAAACGTTATCTCTAACATGAATCTGCACAGCCTCAAGCAGAATCCAAGCAGCTGTTTCAATAGTAAGTGAAAGAATATACTTTTCTAGATTGCTGCTTCTTATAAAAGGTGTTTTGTGTATTTACATCCCTCAACTGTCAGCATATTAATTTACCCATAGTGCTCGAAAATAGAACAGGACATTCCATAATGACGAAAGGGGTAACTCACCAAGAGCTAACAGTCCTAAACGTGTATGCGCTGAGACCCAAATCTTTGCTTTTGCCCTCAGTTATTTTCTTAGGATAAGTTTGCTGCATCCAAGTACGTACATTTTTAAACTTTTGGCAAATCTTCCCATATTGCCTTCCAGACAGGTCATGCTAAAGAAGTATGATCTTAAAATTTTTTTTTAATCTTTACAATAAAAGGCACATTACTATTGGTCTCCATCAAAATCCTCGCCTCCCTTCCAACACACTTTGCCCATCATTCTTGTCACTTTTGGAAGCAGCTCTGGAACCCTTTCCTAAGTGTCTTTAGCTGCCCTGTCATTGCTGTCTCAGTGTCCTGAGTTGAATCACAGTGTTTGCCTTTTGTGGTCATTTAGACTTTTGGGATGAGTCCAAATTCACATGGTACCAGGTCCAGTGAGTAAGGTGGATGAGGACCCACTGGAATGTTTTTGTTTGACAGAAATTGCCATTAATGTTTTGAATCTGTTCAAGACATCAAAGCAGCCAGGATAGCACAGCTAAAAAGTCATTCATGAGAGAAGACTTCCAGAACTGCTTCAGGGAATGTAAAGAAAGATGGGATAAGTATGTTTGAGGTGAAGGAGAATATTTTGAGAGGGATTAATGGCAATGTATCTTTTCCTGTACTAAATTTTTAAATTAAATATGGATCTTATTTTTATCATACCACGTATACTTCTAGTGAGAATGCATGAAACTATCTCCTCTTTCCATTTTCTCCTACACCAGATGACCATGGATCTAAAATGGCTATTAAATATAGTTGTTGCTTTCAATTTCTCCTACTAATAGCAATGACAAAAGCATAGGCATTTTAAAAAATCTCTTTTTATGCATTAAATTTGTTGGTACATTTTAGGTGTACATTATGATTACATTCATCACTGGGATTTTGTACCTGTACGTGATATATCTTGGTTCTTGTTTCCCCATTCCCCTTCCTTCCCTTCCACCCCTCCACCCCTACATATTTACAAAAGATTTGTTCCTTTTTTCCTTTTCTCAGTTTTTTTCTTTCCCTTCTTTCCTTTCTCCCACCCCCTTCCTAGTTCCCCTTCCCCTTTGAACCTTTTCTTCCTGTTTCACATTATCTATTATACATTTTAACCCTCATTTACACTTTCATTTTCTCACACCAGAGAAACAATTCAGTATTTACATGTGTGTTCTATTTATTTCACTTAAGAGTATCGCCTCAAGGTGCATCCATTTAGCTATAAATGTCTCTAGTTTATCATTCTTTATGGCTGAATAGTACTCCATTTTATAAAAAACACATCTTCTTTATCCAGTCACCAGTTGATGGGCATTTGGGTTGTTTCCAAGATTTAGCTATTACAAACTGTGCCACTATAAACATGGGTGCACATATATCTCTGTGGTATGATTCTTTTGATTCTTTTGGGAAGATACCCAGCAGGGGAATGGCTGGGTCAAATGGGACCTCTAGCCGTAGTTCTTTGAGGTATCTCCATACTCATTTCCACAGTGGTTGCACCAGTCTGCACTCCCACCAACAGTGGAGAAGGGTTCCTTTCTCCCCACACCCCCGCCAGCATTTGTTATTGGTTGATTTCTTGATAGTAGCCATTCTTTCTGGGGTGAGGTGGAATCTCAGCATTGTTTTCATTTGCGTCTCTCAAATGACCAGTGATGTTGAGCATTTTTTCATATGTTTATTTGCTGCTTCTAAAATTTCGTATCTGCTTTGAAAAATTAGTAAAAATGATGTTAGTTGTATGTAAGCTAGTGCTTCAAAAATGCTTAAGAATGATTCAGAGATTTTCTTTGGAATTTAATATTGAGTGGTCATTTCAAACAAATAGAGAGAGAGAGAGAGAGAACAAGCCAAGGTAAGTAAATTCTCCCCTAATACCCTTTATCTCTATCTTTAAATCATCATATCACTTTATAATAATCAAATCATCTTTGCCTGGGTAGATTGTGACCCTCCTTGAGGGTAGAGATTTTTGTTAGATATATAGTTTTAAATCTTGCAGTTACAGAGTCTGGTATAGTAACCATTCAATACTTGAGAAGGAAGATTGGAATGAAGGAAGAACTGTAAAATTCATATTCAAACAATATAAATGTCAGTTATCACAATCTCACTGAGGAAGTTAACTGTATTTATTATTTACTATTAACTTGTTGGCTTAGTTACTTGTCTTGTTGCTGAGACAAAATCCCAACATCCAAAGTTAAAGGAGGACAGATTTACTTAGCTCACAGTTTGTGGGGGTTTCAGTCCATAGTTGGGTGGCTCCAGGGCAGGGGAGCATTGCAGAGGAGAAAGAGTTCATCAGCAAAAGCAAGCAAGGGACGACCACAGCTCTTCCTGTGCCTTCTGTCTTATCCAGACTACGTAGGGCGGGCAGCATTCACACCCTTAATCCTAGTGCTCTTCAACCTAGCACTGCACCATGAACAATCCCAGTGTCACACACTCTAGACCCAGCCACCTCACAAAGCCCCACCTGTGACCACATGAGGCTTTGAGGGACATCGAGACACAGCCATAACAGTGGCTTTTAAATTAATTGGCTAGATTAAAAATCCACATAGAACACACTGAAGATGCCTGCCTAGGGCCCCTCAGAGCAGTCTGAAAGTGCTGTCAACACCCACTGGTGACCTGTGTTTCACATCAGTGAGGAGTCGGGACTGGGTGACAACTGTCAGAATGTCGCACGTGAGCAAATCAGCCCAGTATCAGGAAGCTACACCTCTTTCTCTCCTGACAAATCAAGGCATTATGTTTTGTTTTATTAGAATGAGGGTAACATTTTTCATTACCATTAGGATTTTATATTTGTGTAAAACACTTGTAAGAGCTAATCTAATGAGGATTCCATTAGTAGGAAACTCATACTTACCAGAACTTTGTTAGGCTATTCATAGTAATGATTCTGAAGTATGCAGTGCTTCAAAATGCATTCTGAATTATCAGGAATTTAATTATATTTAATATAGGTCTATACACTGTATTCAAATTTGAAAACTGGGAATCAGCAATGACTTTAGAGCTGTAGTTGACTTTAGGGATTATGAGATTTGACTGCATTGTTGCACACAGGTGAGAACTACGATAGGTTAGGTGACTTGTCCAGAGCCCGACAGTTAGTCGAGGTCAAGGCAGAGCTGGAGCCCAGGGTACGGAATCCTAGCTGATCACAAGAATAACTGCCTGTCCACATTGACTGAGTGAGCTCTTCTTTCCCCAGCTGACCTCAGTTCCTTATCTAGAGAGCAGAAATGCTTCTATAACAGATGTAAGAGAATTACAGTCAAATGGTCAATCACACGAACAACCTCTTTGATGAAAAAAATTAATTTCCTAAGGCATGACTATTATGAGATCAGAAGTCTCCAAAGAAACTATCCTGCCTGGAACCTGCTTATCTTTTTATAGGTCTAGTTTTGGCCTGAAGCCGAGCATCTGGTACCTACTTGTTCACTAACAATGAAAAATGATAAGAATTAACAAGAAGTGGCTCAGGCCTCTTTCTTCCCACCCCTAATGATCAAGTTGAGCATCTCTCTCATTAATATCTCACTATGAAATCCCTTGATGCCAGAGAAGACTAGCAATTTATTTGTAAGGATATGAGACCTGATTGTGAAGCCTTCTGCCAGCAGAGATTTTTTCAAAGATTTATCTTTCTCCTGGAGTAAATATCATATTTTTAATTATTCATGATATTTCTCCTGCTTTACCATAAGCTTCCTCAGAGGACAGCGGTGTGTTAAGGCGCTTCTTTTAGGATAAGAGTGTGAAATGTGAATAGAATATTTTTTTTAGCATTTCATTATTATTCTGGGCAAACAAAATTAAACATGATTTGCAAATGCTGCAGTCAGAAACGACAGAAGATGTAAGGTGAGGTGACAGAATTATACTGCATGCATACTGGAGGACATAAACAGGAAGTGCTTATGGTTGGAATGGAAAGCGAAGAGAGTTTATGTGCTTAACAGCTATATTAGAGAGGTAAAAATGCGAGCATGCCTGGAAATACGACCAGAAAAGCTTTACTTAGATTTGTGATAGAATACTCCACATTGTGTGTGCCTTCTATACAAGCTGTATTTGGTGGGCCTCCTTTTCTTATATTGAAAACTTAATAATTAGCCAGAGAAGTATTTTCTCCATATTTCATGGTTACTTGGAATATTAGGTTAACGTCTCATAAGTGCTAACATTAGAAAATAGTCCTATAGGCGTTTCCTTCGGGACTTACAAACAGTAGAACCAGTCGTTTTTGGAATACACTCTCTGGTTCTGTGAGTTCTGGTGGGTGTATAGGCTCATGACCACCTACAGTCAGCATATACGGCACCTCCTGCTTCCCAGATGCCTCCTTTTCTCCTTCATTTTCAACCTTCTCTGCTTTCAAACCCCAGTTGCCACCAATCTTTTCCTGTGTTTTGCCTTTTTGAGAATGTCATAAGACGGAATAAAGCAACACACAACCTTCTGGGTGTGGTTTCTTTCTCCTGGCATAATGGATCTGACATGTATTGTGTTGTATGTACTCACTACTGCTGGGCAGTGTTCCCACGTGGATGTGCCAGATGATGAACATTTGTTTTGTCTCTAGTTTGGGATGGTTATGAATAACTATAAGCATTCACCTATAATATTTTGTGAACACAAATTTTCACTTCCCTTGGATAAACAGCTAGGAGTGGTATTCCTAGTCATATGGTGTATGTTTCACTTTATTCAAAAATGCCAAACTGTTTTCCAAAGGGAGGGCAACAGGTTTGCATTCTAACCGGATGAAATGTCCTGCTGCTTTGCATCCTTCCCAGCACTTGATATT